TATTTTATGTTCATTATTCTTTTAAATGTCAATATATTATTATAATATAGTTATATTATAATATAGAAATATCAAGAAACAATATAAGCAATAATTATGTTTAAATGTAAAATAATATTGTGTGCATAAATGTATTTGGAATATGTTTTATAAATGAATTTACGCACACATACAATACGTTTAGAAGAAAAAATTAATTCATTCTTGTATAAAAACTTTTTATATTGCTTACCGAATGTTTTTGCACCATTGCAAAGTTTGAAACGAAAATATGTGATCGAATTCAGAAATATATTTCTTAGGCAAATTTTTAGTTTCAATATCCAATATTTCAAACTGAAGTCGTTTTTTATCACTAAATGTCTCATTCGCATATTTGATCATACTCTCCGAAATATCCGTACCTTCACGAAATGCAAGTATTGAATTAAATATGTAATTATAACGTCGATTTTTGCTATAATATTTCTTTAATTTATTACTCTTTTACCAATTATTTGTGCATTTGAGTCAAGAGAAGGTAATAAAAAATCTTTTGTTATATCTCCAGGACCGCAACCAATATCCATACACTTTCCACGTATATTCATTAAATCTTCACCGAACTCTTCGATTATAGATAATATTCTATTCTTTTGTACTTTGTCAAATTCACTGTAGATTCTTGGATTCTCCATGACTGTGTCTAGTAATAATTTTAGATACAATATGCTGTGATATTATCTTACAGCAGACTTATATATTCAACGTTGCCATCTATTGTTGACTGTTAGAAATGTATATGTAAATCACAAGTTTCCTTTATATAAATGAGGCTTATGATATAAAATTAAAAATAATGATTTAACTGAAAATTAAGTTACAGTAATTACTTAAATGTAATGAACGTAAACATTAAATTTGAAAAATACATTAAATTTTATGTATATATACACAAATAAATTTTTAGTTATAAATACATTATATTTAATGTAATGTCATGGAATTATATTCAAATTGTGTAACTTAAAATTTAATAAAATTATATTAAAGAATATTTCTAACAGTGTAGTCACTAGATAAATAAACCAGATAAGTAAAATAGAGCAAATAATAGGAAAGCCCTGTATTATGAGATAGATACCTAATATGAGAGAGTGGCGTTTCTGCTAAACTAATAAACACTATCTATTGTTAAACTAATAAACGCTATCTATTGGTTCCACCATAAATTTATTGTTCTTGAATTGAAAACTATTTAGTGGAAAATTCATTATTAGGTCCTGTAATCTAAAATAAACATATTCGTGCCAAAAAGATGTCAATGATAATACGAAAAAGTAGGTCGTGAAACATATGCTCTTTGTAATATTTGGTTAGTAGTTAAGATCTGTATTTCGATGCTTACTGTAAAACTGGGCAAATGATATATGGTTTTGATGGTGTTTTCTGGCGATCATGTGGCTGCTATAGATTATAATTTGATATAGATTATAATATTCTTATATGTGTAAAAATTGCAATTATACCTCTTACACTTGGGATAAGATGACAATAAATACAAAACAATTTTTCCTTGAAATCGTCATTAAAACAATTTTATGAATTAAAATTTTGGATGTTTTATATCGAAATATTATAAGTTAATGAAATGTTTAAACAAATAAAAATATGTCCAATTTACTTCCTAAATTAGGAATTTACTTCTTAAATTTAATTCCTTTCTTTCATATTTCCTCAATTTATGTTTTATCGTACTTTTATGTTTTTAAATTGTTTATGACATTTTCTCCCTCCATAGGAGGTGGCCATCTTATTTATATATATATATATATATATATATGTATATATATAGAGGGCGAAGATGTTACTTTTATGAGACATATCAATTTTTTCCAATACGGAATTAATAATACGGAATATTAAACATTAAATTTGTAAATTTATGTAAATACAGAAAGGTCTCTAAAAAATACAAATAATATTTTTTTGTAATTCAATTCAATAACATTAAGAAGTTATTCAAGAATAAAGGCTTAAGTGGTGTCTTACCCCCAATCACCTTAATGAAAAAATGCTAATAGTTGATCAGTTGAATAGTTCAGATACAAAAAACTTTCTACTTACTAATAAGTAAATATCTTATTAGAATTGCCATTAACTATTACTTTTTTGTGACCATTATCGCCATTAAGATTATAATTTTTTAAGATTATAATTTTTCTATTATAATCTCGTTTCTAAGAAAAGTCTATGGAAAGATTTGTGTGCAATTAATCAAAGAAACATCTGCGAGCCTTATCTGTACAAGGGACATTACATTACTGTTCACCATCGATTTTATTCTCCGTGAAATATGTTGTTGAATACTAAAATCTAAGAGACACATATTTTTTATATGTGCGCTAACTTATGTTTAAGGGGTGAAATACTTCTTTGAAGAAAAAACAATATTTCTATTTCGAAATAGAATACCGTCGGAAATATGAAAGATGGAAAAACTTTTTTAAACAAAAATTGTACGGTTTCGAAAGTACTTCAATGTTGTGAAAAAAAATTTTTTTTAATCTTTTTGTTTTTATAACAAAATACTCCCACTAATTTTCTCAAATTTTATTTTACCAAATTAAAAATAATTTTTTTCTAAATTTAATTATGTACAATAAGGTTATATTATAACATACGATTTTCAAAAATTAATTATTAACATTTTTATACATATCCGTATTCATATGTAAGTAATTATCGTCGAAAC